ATTTTTTTTGAGTGAGTTCAAAGTTGGAAATGTTCAGAGAGAAGGAAAAAAAAGAGTACCCTCCCCCCCCCCCCCCTCCCCTCCTCGGCTCACGTTTACTCTCCTGGGACACGATAATAACTTTTTTTAAAAAATTCAAATAAAAACAATAGTCAACAACTCACTGAAACACCCACCAATTGACCCCTCTCTTTCCCCCACACCCACTAAAGAGTCGATCAGAGACTTGAAATGAGTTCAACCCCCAGAATTTCTTTTTGAACTGCACTCTGAAATTGTTCCTTTGAACCCTGAATTTAAGAAATCGTCGGTACGCTGCTGTTTGTACACACAAACATACACGCATACACTTATATTTACCAGTGTTATTTTTTTTAATTCCAGGTAAAAAATGTTTCAACTAGTTTTGGAATCGAATTGAGTTCCTGATTTCTTAGCGAGAGAGACCCTGTTCCACCTGTCATCAACCCCCTTTGTTTCTCAGTGATTTTCTGTCGTCGCTCAGAGAAAATTTATAATTGAAATCTTTTTTTCAACCCCTTTTACCCCGATTTCCCACATTTTAACACATGGAGTAATAATAATAATGGGGGGGGGGGGGGGGGGGGGGACGATTTGCAAACAATCCCCGCATTTACAGACTAACTGTTCTGTAGCACAATCCACATACTGTAAAGGCCAACAAAAATTAAACTTCATTTCCTGAAAAAATGAAACACAAGAAACGGCCATTAAAACTTAATTTCTAAGGCAATCTAATAACAAAAGAATGCATCCCATTCAGCCCAGGGAATGAGAGAGGGAGATAGACACGGCTCCCAGTATTAATTCCTGTCCTTTTTTTTGAAAAAGGAAAATAACATAAAAATCACACAATGGAAATTATCGTGCGCCGCGTGAATAATTCTCAAATATTTTAATTAATGGTGGATCTATAAAACTTGAGACTTGTTCCGGAAAAGGGGGGGGGGGGGGGCGGAGGGAGAGAGGGGGAAGAAAACTTCATTTCATTCAAAGATAAAATTAGTTTTTAAGGGGCATTTTTTTAAAAAAAGACTGTTTCAACCGTTTTGTTTGGTGTCTTTCTCTTTCTCTCACTCCCTCTCTGTCTCTCTCTCTCTGAACAAGTTTAACAATGTGTGATGATAGTAAAGGGATGACAGCAAACTATTATTTCTTTCTTTCAAGAACAAATGAGATAGATTTCTGTTAGGAAATAATATCTCGGGATATTATACAGTATATAGTTTGGGACATGACATGTCAAGGATGGTGGAAGGTGAACTGGATGGACCTTGGTCTTCTTTTGCCCAGCAAATTCCTATGTTATTATTATGAGTTACTCAGTCAAGTAAGCCGGGTTTTAGTGAATGATGCTCATTTTGGTGAAAGCGGGCGAATTGGGCTGTGTTAAAGCACAAGCGGGAGTTTAAAGTGTTTTAACCCCCCCCCCTCCTCGAAAGGATCTACAATACAGCAAGGAGTTTGACAGCGAGCCTGGGTTGTGAAAGGGATTTGGCTGGGAAAATCTAGTTTGATCCGTTTAAACTGGCTCGGGGGTGGTCAAAACAGTGCCCAAGATCCAAAATCACCTTTCTTCTGAACAGCTTTCCCCTCTGTGTCTCTCTCTGTCTCTCCTCATACATGAAGCGGAATCGTGATTAATTCTAAGGCGTTGTGAAGTGCGTGTGATATGTACAAATCGACCGGACTCTGAAAAAGATGCTTAATTTTAGGTGAAAGTAATGCGTGCATCTCCCCGTTTGGTAAAGGGCTACTTGTTAAATATACTTCCCCACCCCTACTAAAATGTGGCACCTTACCCGGACAGGACAGGTTAGAGAAAGGGTGTGTGTGTGTGGGGGGGTGGGGGGTGGTGGTGGGGGGGGGGAGTTTATAAGCAGCTATTGACTGCTGATCAATGGATTGATGTATTTTAATGTCCCATTCAGAAAAGGGCGAGTGTTCAATCCATTCCCCCAAAAAGCTTTGTGTTTTGACACGGCCCAGCATCCCGCTAACCAACACTTAAATAAATAGGGTTAAAAACCATTAACAATCTGGCGCATCGTGTTTTTTTTAATTATTCCAGAAAAGTAAGGGGTGGGGGGGGGGATGAAGTGGCTGGGATTTCACAAGGAAAAAGGGAAACAGATTTAAACATCATCTAATCCAGTAAACGCAAAAATGTGTGCAAGTCATTTTTTTTTGGAGAGAGAGCTTGTGAGAAATTGCAATATTACATCTCATGTCAAATTATAATAATAATCCTTGCATTTAATACGACGCCTTATCACGTTTTCGAGACGTCTCGAAGCGCTTCACAGAATATCCTGTAAAGTGAATTGACTGTGTATTTTGTGGGCAAAACAATATATATATATATATATATATATATATATATATGGAGGTGGTGGGGGAGGAAACAATCTTTTTTTTGAGGAGCGGTTGCGTCCTGGTTTGGAATCCAGTCTGGGAGAAGGTTCAAATAAGTGTAGTTTTGGTGAGGCTTGAGTGACCCTATATCCCAGTCTTTCATTAACCTATTTCACAGGAAACCGCTGGCTTGATATGCACTTCAAAGGGACGCGCCGCTCTACGCAACGGAAATTAAACAGAAATAAACTTTTTTTTGTTGTGTGTGGTGTGTGTGGTGTGTGTGTGTGTGTGTGTTCCCCAGGGAGAATTGTAGAGTCGCTTCTATGTGATGGTTAGCGCCTGTAAACAAAGTCAATAGAGTTCTGTCTCGCAGCCAAAACATTCTCGATTATCTCTTGTTTATCTCTCTATATAAATCCATACTCTTTCCACCTTCCCCCCCACCCTTTCCCCTTGCTTTGACCGCTCGCTGTTTAACCATGCCATCATTGCCTTTGCCTTTAAAACTGAGCTCAAACCCACATTAAGTCTCACTTCCCACAATTTACAGTATGCGAGCGTATTTATGCTGTACATGGCATAGCAAAGCCCAGCTCGATTTAATTTTTTTGTGTGGGGTGGTGGGGGGAGAAAATGTCTTCAGTCAGACACAATTGGAATTGGCGAAGTTTGCGGTTTAAACTAAGTCCCACACCACAGCAAAGCGCCTTTTGCCCCCGTGTCTAAATCAAAAATAGCACAATTTAATTCCAAACCAAATTGAATCCCACTATTGCTCAGTTGTACCCAAGTGTGTGCACTCTGTCTGTCTGTCTGTCTGTCTCCAAACTGTAAAGGCGCAATCCAACCAGTACTCTTCGCCTGATGTTCAAGAAAAAGAGAAAATGGTCAATTTGACAAGCAAACAATTACCATTCTCTGAATAGAAATCCGATGGATTATTTAAATGGCCACCGACTCCCCCCACTCTCTTTCTCTACTCCACCTGGCTGATGAGAGTTAAGTGGAACTCTGTTAATAAACATTAACCTGTATGTGAGCTGGACAGGGCAGTCAATGCACAGGTAGGACTTGATAAAGTGGAGTGAGGATGGGAAGTTGAGGGTTATATGTGTGTGATATAATATCTCTATACAGTTTTAAAATTAAATATCACTTTACATAAGCTTCATTTGGTTTAGTTTTGGGGGTTTGTAAAGGAAGCAGGCGCACACAGTAAGCAAAATATCTGACCAAATGCAAGTCTCTCTCTCTTTCCCTGTAGCTCTCATGCAAGTCTCTCTCTCCCTCCTTTCTCATTCTTTCTCTCCTTCGCTCTCCCTTCTCCCCCCACCCCCACCCCTCGCTCTCCCTTCTCCCCCTCTCTCTCTCTCTCACTCCCTCTCTCTCAAGAGGAATTAAAGTGCATTAACTTGTGTGTGGGGGGTGGCGGTGTTTTCCCTGTATCATCCTGGGCTGTGGGTGCCCTTTGGCGAGGTTTGGAGATGCTATAGACCTGGGTATTTTGGAGAGGGTGGGGATGGAAGGGGGGGAGGGGTGATCCGGTACAATATGTAACACCATCGGCTGTAATTTCACAGCCGGAAGAACATCTAGCCTTAAGCAACCTAGCTTCTTTTCCGCTTTTTTTTCCCCTTAACACTTTTTTTTTAACCCTGCTATGTTTCCATTCC